CGGACAAACACAACAAGAAGAAAAGAAAGAAAGAAAAGAAAAGAAAACAAAAAATGACATCCAAAAATGTAAACCACTTCTTTAACCCCCCCCCCACCCCCCTTCTTCATGATTTTGCCACCCCGTTCGATCGATTTCGTTCTTTTCCCCGTTTGATTTTCGTGGGTTGAAACAGGTTCGCGCTTTGAGCTTCAAGTTTCGAGCTTCGGGAGGCGTTTTTTTTTTTTTTTCTCCGCCGAAATGTTGGGTGGTTGGGTCACTAGCCATTTTGGGAACCTGGGTATGCTAGTGCTAGCTTTTGGACGCGGAGGAAGAGTTGTAACTATATTCTGGCCAAAAGGTAATAAAATAACACTAACTAAAGCGACTACGTTCCAATGTATTTATTTATTTATATCGGTATTTTTATTTATTCCATGTCAGGAGGGTTCCAAACCTGGGTTCAAGGACAATCGGAGCTGGCGCCAAAAATAAAAAAAAAAAAAAAAAAGGGGGGGGGAAAAAATACAAAAAATACAAAAAAATAGGGAGATGAGAATAGATAAAATGTAACGATCCAAGTAGAAGGAAGGATAGAATGGGAGAAAGTTGTATCAACTGCAAAACACATCAAAGAGAAGTGAACATAAAGAAAAAAATCATAATAAATAAAAATCCAATAATAAAAAAACAATAACATGAAAATGAAGGGAGGGAAGAGAAGGGGGAAGAGAAGATGCGGGGGAAAACATGATGGATAAAGAAACAAAAAGAAAAAAGAAAAGAGAGGGCGACGAGAACCCCACTCCACGAACCCATTCATTCATCAAATGCGGTTTTTTATGGGAAAAGTAATAATAATAATAGAAAATCAAAATCCAAACCAATCAAGGTTCTGACATATCCCTTTCATAAGTATGGATTCCAACCCCCTTCATACTGTTCAACTCGAATCCCCTTTGCCCTGCGCCTGAGCTTGCTGCGACTCCCTCCCACCCCCGCCATTAGCAATCCCGTTTTTACTCCCGCTTCCGCTGCCCTTTCCGCTGCTTCCACCGTTTGGGCTAGCCCCCTTCCCACTTGCGGTCGCGTTTCCACCAGCACTCTTCTTCTCCTCTTCCCCGCCATCATCATCATAATCCTCGTCAACTTCCATCTTCCGCGCCGGTGGTTCATGTTGCATCGCCTCCTTCCGCTCCCGCTCCCTTTCCCTGTCTCTTTCCCTGTCTCTTTCCCTTTCCCGCTCCCTCTCCTCTTTGACCGAACCCGTTCCAGCAACACCGCCAAGGCCTGAAGGCAACGACGGCAGTGGCCCCGTTTGATGCCCATTACCCCCCTCAGCCACCATCGGAGCCATCGCGGGGCCTGGCTGTGGCTGTGACTGTTGCTGCCCTCCTTGTGACTGCTGGCTCTGGCCTTGCATATGCTGGAAGGAAGGGAGTGTAGGTGGATGATGCGCTGCCTCAGAAGGGTGATAACCATCATGCACGCCGCGCCCGTGGCCGTGGCGTTGTTCTTCGCGCTCACGTTCGCGCTGCTGCGTGTCGGAGGAATCGCGCCGGCGGAGGTCGCGGGGTGACGGGAGCTGAGTTTGTGATTGTGACTGAGAGGACGGGGACATGCGTCGTGGTGCCTGCTGCGGGTCATCTAGCCGGGCGCGGCTCTCCTCATTCGCCAGTTTCTTTACGGGACCGGGACCTGGGTCCGGTTCCCAATCGCGGCCACGTTTCATGGATGATGGGGGCCTCTCATCACGGTCGCGTTCACGGTCGCGAGCGGCGGCTTCGGCGGCACCCATGGTGGATGGGGGTGGCGGGGCACTTGCGTTGGCTCCGGGGCCGGGGGGCCCTGGGTGATATTGGTGTGGTGGCGGGGGATATGTGGATCCAGGGGAACTTGGGCGGTCATCGCGAAGAGGCCGTACTTCGGTTGGCGGGGTGTAAGGGCGAACATAAGGCGCTAGCTGGGGACCGGAAGGAGCGCCATTGGGCGCAGCTGATGCAGGACCCGCTCCCTGAGCTAACGGTGGTGGTCGCCCGGCGGCAGTATAGTTTCCATTATTTGCATTGCGGTCATGTTGCTGCTGCTGTGAGGGTGGAGGCGGGGGTCCCAGCTGGGGAAGAGTCTGCCCGCTCTGATATGAATTTGGAGCAGCCAAGCTGAATTTCGGCGATGGGGAGAGCCCCCCCTTTCGAGGCCCAGGATGTTGAGTCTGCTCGGGGTATGGAGGCGCTTGGTCCTGTCGAGGGCTGGGTTGCTGAGGCGCGCCCCGCACACCTTCACGGTGATCAAATGGAGCAGGACGTTGTGGTGGTGCTTGGGAGTTTTGGACGTCGCCGACACTCCGAGCCCAATTGTCGATGCGACCAGGTGGCGCCGGACCTTGTGGTACGGGACCACCACTCGGTGCTGGAGGACCCCATTGGTGTCCAGGAGGCATACCCACGCCAGCAGCTTGATATGTGTGAGGATTAACATCTTGTGGAACGGGGGCATTAGCCTGGTTGGCGCCTCCTGCCTGGCCGCTTTGCAGCAGCTGCAATCGAGATTTGATGTGAGTATTTGTGGGGTCGAGATCGGCAGCGCGTCTATAAGCATCTAGCGCATCGTTCGTCTGGTTGTTGCATGATTCATACTGAATACAGGAAAGCGATGTTAGCTTCTTTACCGTAAAGCTGGGTAAGATATACATATATATATATTTCAAAACGTACCAAAGTCCCCAGATCATACCACACTTCCGAGATGTATGGGTTTAAGCGGATGGCACGGGAGTAGGCGTCGAGCGCATCACGGTACTGATTAATTTGGTAGTAAAGCACGCCGATGGAGCACCAGAATGTGGGATTCCTTCCGTCACGGTAGACAGCTTGCTGGTAAGCCTCATATGCTTTGGGGTATTTTGCTTGAGACATGTAGCACCGTCCAAGGAGGTACCAGCTCTGGGCGTCACTGTTATCTATCAAGGTGTTAGCAGCATACTCCTGCTGTTATATCTCTCGATGAGAGATGTGGGGAGGCACATACCCGCTTTAACAGACTTCTCCAAATATTCAATGGCCTGTTCCTGGCTGCTGTAACTGTTGCTCTGTTGGTGGTGCAGCCATCCGAGTTGCTGTAATACCTTTGCATGATTGGGATCACGGTCCAGTACCCGACGGTAAGCGGCCTTGGCAGAGTCGTACTGTGTGTAACCCGAGTCAGTACATAAAGGACGGAAAGAATGACGGGGAAGGGGGAGGGAAGAGAGGACAAAAAGCAGCTTACATCTTTTTGTTGTTCATGGACATGGCCAATTTGGAACCAGATATCTTCTTCAGTCAGAGGCCGCGGGGGATCAGTGACGATGTATTTGAAGCACTAAAAAAATAAGAAAAAAATTAAAAAAAAAAAAAAAAGTCAGACTTCATACTGCTATCACTCTATATTGTTTTTGTTTAATGGAGTTCAGGTCACCAACCTCCAGACTCTGACTGAATTTCTGTTGTTGTTTGTATATTATGCCAAGGCGGAAATAAATCTCGTTGGCCTTTTCGAAATCCGGTTGCATGCGCATGACTTGCGAAAAGGCCTCCTCAGCGTGGTCGAGAGACCCGTAGCGATCGTAGAGAATGCCAATGCCATACCACAATTTTGGTTCCTACAGCAATGTTAGTAAAAATAAATGAAAATAACACTCCGGACGGGGTGAATTGATGAGGGAGAAGGGGGGGGGGGGGAATACTAACTTGAGGATCTCTGAGATGATATAGAGCCTGTTGATACGAGGTGTATGCCTCTTGAAGATTGTCAATCATAAGATGGCAGTGTCCTATATACATCCACACCAATGAGCCAAAAGTACAACCCAAAGAGTGAGAGAAAGAGAAAAAGAAAAAGGTCAACAAATGCAAAATACTAACCCAAACTTCCCCAGGACTCGCCATTTGTTGGATCCAACTTCAGGATATTTTGCAGATACTCAATGGCCTTTTGGAACTGTTCTCTGGTACGGAGGATACAGGAAATGGCACTCATCGCAGGGATAGACCATTGGTTATGCCTGAGAGCGTGTTCGTAGGCGCTCATTGCGCCATCCAAATCGCCTATCAATTCGGATAGGCTCCCTGTCTCGCCAGTTAGCTACATCCGTATTAAGTGGGGAGGAGTGATTGTACATACCGATCTGCAGCCAGACGCCCTCGTTGAGCATAGCAATCTTCTGACTGATGGGATTGGCGATCGGCTTCTGCGCCTGGGGCTGTTGGACAGAGACAAGGCCATTGACTTGTTGTTGCTGCTGTTGCTGTTGTTGTTGCTGCTGTTGTTGCTGCTGGGGATGGGTATTGGATAGAGCACCAGGGCCGGGACCAGGGCCGGGACCGGGACCGGGACCGGGAGCTGGAGCTGGAGCTGGACCAGCACCCGGAGCGCTAAGGTGTGGATGGATGCTGCCCGGAGGCGAAGCTTGAGGATGGGCGGACATTGTGGAATGATGGAAGGGGGAGGGGATGGTGCTAATAGAAGAAGTGATGGGGCGGAGTCTGCCGAGACATGGACATCGAACACAGGAATCACTGAGTCACTGAGTCAGCAGCAAGACCCTTCCGGGGCAGTAGCGGACGAAAGCAGACATCCAATGCAAGGATTGCAGAGAAGGCGGGGAGAGAGAAAGTCGAGGAGGATGTGATGGTGATGGTGGTGAGTGGTGAGTGAGAAAGGGTGATGTGGCGACAACAACGACTGAGGATGCGATATCGAACAAGTAGCCAAGTGAAGATGGGGATTATGTAACGAAGAGATACAGAATGGGTGGAGATAGATGGGATACGTGGTACTTCCAAGATCGAGATGGAGGTGGGAATGGAGCAGAGAAGCGTAGAGCAGGGCACAGCGGAGTGGCGGAGCGGGGAGGAGGAGAGGAGGGAGAGGAAGAGAAGAGTAAGAATAAGAGAAGAAGAAGAAGAAGAAGAGAAGGAGAGGATGGGAGGAACGAGGGCAGCAGCAGCAGCACCAGCAGCAGCAGCCGCAGCAAGAAGCAAGCGTCGGAGCGAAAAAAGGGCGAGCACAGCGAACGGGCATTTGGCGCTAGTGGGAAGGGAGTTGGCCAGCGCCAGATGCCACCCAGACGACCGAAGCGGAATTAAGACGACAAACGACGACGACGACGACGACGACGCAACATCCACAGTACTACTATACTGCTCAACCAAGTTGATAACCATCATAGCAGTAATGATGATAGTGAAATAATAGTGATAATAGGATAATAGTACTCCGTAATAATACCAAACCCGTATATCGCTCGACCCTTTTTCTCCCCCTTCCGCAAGAAACATGCCACCCAAGCAAAGAATGATGGCGGGCGTGATGGATCCACAATTCCACATCCAGAGCCAAAACGAGCCCAGACAACATTCAAGCCAACAAATCCCTGCCCTGGCCTAGCCCGGGACTTGGCAGGTCCTTGGCGGGCCTAGGGGCTGGCGGCAGGGCGGCAGGGCGGCAGGCTGGCAGGGGCTGGGCATACTATGTACGGAGTATGTAAGCACGCATTATAGTTAGTTAGTTAACATCTCTAGTTAGCTAACTTAGTTAAACTAGTTTAGTTCGCTAGTGTAGTTAAGCTAGCTTAGCGGGGCTAGCGGGTTAGCGGGCTGCACTGGTCCGTGGGGCGTACTACTGTGCTGCTACGGAGTACCCTTCTCGAAGTACATACTGTCCCATCATCCGCTGAATCTCTGGCGCATCGTGAATTCGTTGATCCTGGGGCTCGCGGGCTGGGGTGGGGCCACGGGGCCACTGGGCAAGGGACCCACGGGCTGGCCACGGACGGGCCAAGTGGGGTGCAGCCTGCCTGGAACCGTGGCTCTTGCAGCCCTGGACGTCCCCTAGAATCCCTTCCCTCGGATAGGGCACTGCATGCACTCATTGGCTAACTCGCACATGTTCTACCTGGGTACATCGTGTACATCGGGTGCATTCATGCACATCAAGGAATGGGCCTGACGTGGTTCCGACGTGGGTTAGTGCCCACTGGCGAGGTCAGATTAGTCAGGCCTCTCCCCGGTTGTCATCCTCGGCGATCCACCCAGATCCACCCAGGAGGCCATTGAGGAAAAAGCAAATGCTCGTGGACCCCGTTGACATCTGGTACCGGTACCGCCGTCCCACAGACAAATAAAAGGGCCCCCTCCCCTACCCCCGGTCAGGCCGGTCACTGGCATCTGTTTGAGAGCTAACTAGATTAACCACCTCGTCAACTAAAACATCGACTTAACTAGTTATTGACTAGCTGGCTAGTTAACGGACTCCAGCGTAATTAACTACTTGTGCCAAAGTGCATCTCACTCAGCGTACCTCCCATTAGTGAGTGCAACACACTACAACAAGAATTCACACTGTAATACTCTGTAGAATTCTATTATCCTTATTCCTCATCTGCTCATAAGTTAAATCTCTAAATCATGTGATAATGACATCAACATCTTGAAAGGATGGTCAATATGAGGCATTCAGAGAAAATAGCAGTAACATTGGATTTTACAATAGTAGGCTCTCTAGCCTCCATAAACTTAGTTAACTATCAGGGCGGCAAGGCAGTTGCTGACACATATATATGTATATATTTATATATTTGGTGAAATGTTATCATTATGAAGATTGAGTGATGTTCGAGTATCGTCTGGAAAGAGAAAGATAGATCAACCCTGCAAGATCTCTATTTATAATATATAAACTGTGTGTCTACAGATGGATACTGTTGGGGGGATTGGATTGGGTGATTCGTACCCTCTATACCACCACGGCGCTGGTGGTGATTGAGCTCTTTTGCCCTAGTGGCCTAATAGATACAACATCTCTATCCATCACTCGTTAGAATGTCACGTGCCCACCCCTATTTAAGCAACCTACAATGAACCAAGCTTCCTATTTTTTGTGAAAATAGGCACTTCACAATCATATCTTATTCGCCCCACACACATCCCGCTGCTTGTCCTTGTGCGTACATGGTAGAGGCGCATGCAGTGCACAGGGCTGCTGGGGTTGGGGGAAGGATTCAAGCATTGGTTAGTAAATATTGTGGCTGAGGGCTGGTTAAGTAAGGAGGGAGCGCCCAACCAAATGTGTGCATATTCTTTATTCTTCCCGGGCAGCCACTGCTCGGGATCTTGGGGAGGGGCCAAAACAACAAAGCGCCGCCGCCGATGCTAACCCTGTTGCTCCGGTTGGGAGGGGCGAGGTGCGCAAGTTTCTGGACATTAATGGGGCGGTTTCATGTTGGCAACCGGCGCAGGACGTGACTGAGCCTGTCTTGGGGCTCGGAGCGCGCTGTCACTGGTCTCAAAGCTACTCCGTACATAAATACCCAACTCGTCGGTCCGTTACAGATCTGTACAGAGTACACCACACCACACCACACCACACTACTCCGTACATTCCACTACACTACACTGCACTACACTACACTAGTTAGTGGCCTGGCCGCTAGGGCTGGGCTTATTTTTAACTTCAGGATGTTCTCGTTCCAAGCGTGGAATGAAGGAAAGG